ATTTTATACACTCATATAGTCATTTGCTTATTTAGGCCTAGGTTAGTCTAGGCTAGACCTCGGCTATGCCTATTACTATATTATTTAAATAAACAATTTTAATAGAAAGAGTAATTTAACATGGACATAGTAATTCATACTTTAACAATACATTAAATTTAAGTATTAATATAATAACGTTAATGAATAAATAACAATAATTAAAACGTGTACATAGTATCACTACTATAATAATATGATTAACATTTTCAATTTTATAATAAATTTTATACAGCCGGTGGTATGTATTGACCTAGGCTACTATGGCTAATGACAGGTACGCTTTCACCATTAAAGGCTTTTTCTATGAATGGTATGACCTGTACGAAACACGAGCTCCTGTAGACCAAACCCAGTACCGTTACGATTTTAATCGTACGGGAAATATCCTCAAGAAAAACCAAGTACAGTGAATTGAACTTTTCACTAAAAAATAATTAACAGTTACTTGTAAATATGTTTGTATTGAGAGCCTAGTTATTTTTGAGGTGTAAAATTTACAAATTTGGGCTGGTAGAAGGCTAAAGTGGAAATAATACATTCTGTTTAGTGTTAAACACTTTCTAGACTCAAAGTGTTGTTTTTTATATTTTTACTGACTTTGTGAACATACATTTTTTAAGTTAAAATGTTAAATGAGACATGACATACCACAGATTTCCTGTGATGGACAAACTGTAACGTTACTAACCGTAACGTTACTATCCATGATTAATTAGTCTCATTAAAAAATGATGAGTCAGAATATAAAAAAATATGTGGTAAATTATTTGTCATCAATCTAGTAATAAAATAAATATGACACTTTGTTTCTAGTATGTTCCATTTGAGGAAACTTTTTGTCCAAAGACACTAAGTTTTTAACCATGTCCTTTTTTTCTAACGTTACTAACCGAATAAAAGTGTTACCATGACAACCCCAAATGCTGGTTTGAATTTTTTTTATTTTGCTGTATGTTGTAGATCTAGGGAGGATGTACCTATGGTATCAAAGCTAGTACTTTAGGTGCATTCATTTTGTTGTAAGGGTTAATCCAGATATCTAATTTTCTAAAAATGTAACGTTACTAACCGTGGAATTTTTATTATATATATATATATATCTTGTATAAGCATCAGGAAAAAGAATTTTACATTTCAATTTTTTCACAAGTGGCAATAAAAGAATCTTCTGTCTCTAAACCTCTTTGCATTAATGATATAATTATATATAAATTTTGAACATTAAATATAAAAAAAGTTCACTACCTAAATGAAAGCTTATAGTTGTTTTTGTTTTATAATGTTCTTCAATTTGTAGTTCTCCGTCTATTGCACCTCATTTTTCACAATCACAGCAAGTGCACAGCACAGAACCAGCTATGAAACGCATTTGAAATCACCAGTGATTTAGTGTATTTTATTATATAATTCTAAATGCTACGTACAAAAACCATATAAATTCATTTTTTAAAATTGCAATATACTGTAATTACTTACTAAAACAAGTTTATAATTAAATTAATAAGTATAATTATCATAAGATGCCCATTGCCTCCAATCAATACTACCCTCAATTGAGAGTAACTTTCTACACACACAAGCACTTGAATAAGTAATGCAAGCGTCAGAATTTCTTCCATCGGAACATCAGTACAAAATACGTAGAAAGAGGAAAAACAAGGATATTTATTTTAATATATACTTTATTGAAAACGAATGACAAAAGAAAAGTGCAAACTATGAATAAAATTGCATTTCTATGTAGGCTAGGCTTAGGCCTTTCTCTTTGGGTAAGGTAGGTATGTCCTCTCGGGTAAGGTAGGTATGTCGTCTCTTCCTTGCTCTCTAGTCTAGCACAGTCTAGCCTAGGCCTATATTTGGATCGTGATGATGATCGTGATGTGAATTTATTTGCTTCTACATCTTGTGTAGTACTGTCATTATTGTATTTAGTACAATATTATTGATGCTAAATTATTTAAGTGTTAGTCACCATAACAATTCATCCACATACCGTAGCTGTACTTGGACAGATCACACCAAAAACACCCCGTATACACTGTAGTGCCAGTGCCTGGACTATTTGTAAACAAACCTGACCTCTGACCCCGTGATGTCACGGACCACGCTTTCTGAGACCGGAGACGCCGAGAGCCGCACTTGGAGACTAGGGGCCCGTTTATACAACACACCAATATCCGCATTCTCAGCCCGCCAAAGTTATGTGTGTAGTATAAACGCCGTCGGATTGCGTGTAATTACATTACCATCTGGCAAAGAGGCTACTTGACGAACCGGCCAAATTTGGCCGGTTCGCGACCTTGCGAAGCCTACTTGGCACCCTCAGGCTATTGTTTGACCTCTCGTAAACACAGCGAGCGGAATACGGAGAACTCAGCCCGGACTTACGCTATTCAGAGGGACATCCCTGAATCAGACAATGGTGAGTCACGGGCCTGGGCACTTTTAGTCTTCTAATTACTAGGGTAGTTTAAGTAGTAATGAATTACTGTGGAGCCTAGCAAGCTCTACAATGGCGACGAGGATTTAGACTTGGGAGTGCAAACTTTTTTTTTTTTTTTTGACGGGGAAGAGATATGCGTAGGCCTATGTGTCAGTAGCTGACCTAGTTACTTTGACGAGCATTCGTCCTAAAATTATTCCTTTCTCGGATTCGGGCGAACTGCCTGTATTTTGGCGCTATCTCCTTACGCTTAATCCACCTCGCCAGCATTTTAGGCTTGTAGGATTTGAGTTTTCTTGTGTCTTGAGCGTACCTGGTAATTTTGGTGACTCCACGGCTCGTGTTTCGTGGAGGGGCTGTTTTGCAATGGCGGCCCGGTAGCCCCAGGTAACAAGCCCATAAGGGACCCATATGGTGCCCATATGCAGATCTATATGGGTACCATATGTGCAATCCTTGAGGAAACCTCCGGATTCTGCACCCAAGTTCCATGTGGGACCCATATGATTTAGCCCACATAGCCCAGATATA